TGTATTATATCGGTTATATCCATTAGATTTCAAAGAGTATAGCTTGTAACTACCTACCTACCTACCTACCTACTTATCAATACTCAGCACAACATCCCAGATAGATAGATGGATCTAAGACATTGATAGGTACCTAGTAGACAGGTAGATATGCATACAGAATACAATACCGATAGAAAATCCCAATAGAGATAGAGATCGAGAGAAAACCGCCGGTAAATAGTAGGGATCAGATCGTATTGTAATCTGTATTAAGCTTACAGGTGTAAATTGTGGAAAATGAGAAATGAGAAGATGATGGGTTGGTGGGTTGATGGGTCGATGGGTGGGACTTTCAATAGTTGATGGAGGGGGGATTGAGGGATAGATGGATGGTGGATGGGTGGATGGATGGATGGGTGGATGGGTGGATAGGGAGATAATTTGAGGAGTGGATAGGCAGATAGGGAGATGGTTTGAGAGATAATTTGAGGAATGGATAGGCAGATAGGGACATGGTTTGAGAGATACCGGTAGATGGTAGATGGTAGGCAGATAGGGGATGGATAGTTTGAAAGGGAGGGAGGGAGTGGAGTGGAGTGGAGATTGGTGTATGAAAAGAGAATTATAAGGGAAAAGGGAAGAGATGGATCGTGGTGGTGGATGGGATGGAAATAGAAATGGATGGGAAAGGGGATGCGGATGAGTACTTGAAATTTGGTACTTGGGTATTTGGGTAGATAGATAGTTCATTACTTACCGCTTCTTTTGAGATTTTTTGGGATTCGAGAGAATACAGAATATAGAATAGGTAGATAGATGAATGAGGTGGATGTGTAGGGAGATGAGGTGTAGATAGGTAGGTGGGTTTAGAGGAGAGTAAATGCTTAGCTTGGGCATGTAGATATGGAAGAAGGTATGGAAGAAAGAAGTTTTAGGGGTGGGATGATCCGATGAGGAGTGAAACATAATGGGATAAGATTCGATGGGGAAATGAGACGAATGGAGATACAGTAAAACCTCTCTATAAGGATCCCCCTATAAGGATAACCTCTATTATCCTTATTTTTTTGAATCTCAATTTTTTTTAGATCTAGAAATGGCCTATATTCTTAAAACCTTTTGATAAGAATATTCTTATATATTTCAATTCTAGAATTATATATATTCTAAGTATATTAATTAAATAATCTACTTTAATCTCTTTTTTTTCTTTTTTTTTTAAAAAAAATTCTTAAAACTCAAGCTTAATTTTATTGATTTTTATTCTTCAATTTATTATTCAATCTATAATATTAATATCAATATTATAGTTAATTAAGTAAATCTTAATATAATATTTATTATAAATCTTCCTTAATCGATTTCTCAAAACAGATTTACAATAAGTAAGATAGAATATTAGTAATTATATTAAATACAAATTATTAAAGGAAAAAATTAAAAAGATCTCATTCTTCGATTTAAATAGAAAAACAGAACGATCTCTTATATAAGAGTAGTACTCTATGATACTTAGTTTTATATATAAACACTAGATTACATAGCTCTAATGGCTCTATAAAAAGAGAGAGAGGATGTAGCTATTGAAATATATCAATCTCTTTAAAAACAATCTGAATTTCATTATAAGTTAATACCTATAAACGAGCTTATTAACTCTAAAAGAGAATATATTAAAGATTAAGACGAAGATAATATTATCAAGAGATTAATAGTAACTTATAATATAATTAAGGAAAGATTAAAAATGATATTAAAGATTAAAAGCCTTCTAGATATATTTTGTATAAAAAGATAATAAAAGTATTAGAAAGTTGGATTTATTTAAACTTTAAGGAAGTAATAATAATATTAATTTTAAAAAGCTTTTAAAGAAAACTCTATACTACTTAATAATACTTATTAAACTCTTATTTTAATCGTTAATTCTTATTTTTATTAATAACCCTTTATATAAGGATATCTCTATATATTCTTGAAAATAATCATAAAAATCAAGATCCTTATAGAGAGGTTTTACTATACATTAGATTGATTGACTTGGGATTATATGATGTGAGTGATGTGGGCCGCGGTTTACGATTGAATTGATCTGAGGTGATGCGGTAAGAGGCGGTACGAAGCGATGGATGAGGGAGCGATGTGTGGATGGTAGGAGGTGATGTGTATATATGAAGCGATGTGTAATTATCTTATTATTTGATATGTTGTACTATATGTGCATACTATGATGTACTATTCTATGGTATATGTATGAAATCGAAATAAGGAGGTAGGAAACTTGGAAAATAAAACTACTCTACCTACTCGAGTAGTATGACACGTTAACGGGATGGAATTTATTATTTGAGATTTGACATCGGAAGTCTGAAGTGAAAGTTGGAGGTTGGCTGGCTTGCTTGCTTTCTTTCTTTCTTTCTTTCTTTCTTTCTTGCTTGCTCCCTCGCTTGGAGGGAGACTTAGAGGCTTGGGAGCGAGATAGACTAGGAAGAACCGAGATGGACTAGGGAGGGGAGGGAAGAACTGGGGAGAGAAGAAAAGGGAAGAAATAGGCTGGGAAGAATGAAAGAAGAAAAGAGAAAAGTAAGATAGTGTGCACTGTGGACGGGATAGGTAGTGGGGTGATGAATGATGCAGCGGCGCATCGTGGCTTTATTCTTTGCTTTACGGAGGGAGGTTTGGGAGGGGATATGAGAGGGTGTGGATGGTAGATTATTGATATGAGATAGTAAAAGGGAAAAGGCATGGTAGATTATCGATATGATATGAGATGGTAAAGGGTATGAGAAAGGGTATGGTAAAGTATGAGATGAGATGAAGTTGTAGATGAAGATGTGAATATGATTGTGGATGGAGTACGGTACTAGTCGGTATTTGACAGATAGAGGAGAATCCTTTGTACATAAGAAGGAGATTAGAGATTCCAAGTGGGAAGGTTCAGATAGATATCGTGATAATATTTTGTATTGTGATGGAGGGAGAAAGGGGAGGCGGGGAATAGTAAGTTATGTGAATTTTGATGACAATTTTCTTGGACAGATGCATGCTAGCTCTATTTTTCTCATAAAAACCTGGAAGTGAAGTCTAGAAATTAGATTGCTATAGATATACCGAATTAGTTATTTTTGAGACGGTGGTTGGTATCTGCAAGATGTATTACCTCGTTATGAAGACATCAATAAGATGAGTACTTGGGTATGGTAGGTATGTATCCTGAACCTCCATCTGTGGACGAAAGGGTACTCTAAAAGTCTGGATTCATTTTCAAACTACTCCATATGAGAGAGTGGCTGTGTAGAAGAAATTGTATTTTTCCTTCCTTGATTTACATAAAGTACCTACCTCCTATGATGTATGCATAAACCCAATCTCTAATTACATCGTAGCAAAACCTCCTCCAAATCCAGGGTTCCAAATATCCAAACACAAAATCACCAGGGTTCTCCTCATCCATCATGCTGATCGCAAAAGTCAAGGTCAAAGGATCGGATCTTAGCCTATGGAAAAGGGATGCTTGTTTGGTGGCTTCGTGGTGTGGTTCCTGGCTAATAGGTGAGGTGATGGATGGATGGATGGACGGACGGACGCGGGTCGAGGTTAGAGTTTTTAGGGTCGCTGGTGATGTAGGTAGGGTTTTATGTTTGGTTTTGGGGGGGGGGGGGGGGGAGGGAGGGGATTTTTGCTTTTGATTGCTGATCGTTGCGGGTTTGGGAATGAGGTGATGGAGAGGGGGAATCTGAGCACACGAGCTATGGTTTGAGGTGCTTTAGATGGGTTAGATGGTTTGGATGGTTTAGACGGAGGATTGTCTGTGCTAGTATAGATAGATGTAACTTTAAGTTATATCTTCTAATTTGATATTTTTCAGAGGTTGAAATATCAGATTGATAAAGATGGAAAATTTCCTCTGTATGGAATTCTTTACGTGTGATATTTACATGCCACATTCCCTATAAGCGATATACGTACCGAATACGATATTCCCATGTATAATGCATGTACGCTCATTGAATTTTTCATACGGACGGGACATCTGTACCAAGACCCTAGTTACTTCTTGCATGAAACGTTAGGATGGGAAGACGGTGAAGGATCGGATTCGTGGTCAACTGGTTAGTCATTACGAGAAGAGGGCCGGCGAAGCTTGGGATTCCGGGAACGCCATAGGTATCTTGTGTGATTAGCGGCCGTTCTGTGGATAGATTTGAGGAGGGCTCGGAGGCTTGGTAACTTGGTAGGGCATGGTGGAATGGGATGGTGGTGGTATGAGGCTTTGGGTGTGGGGGAGAGGAGCTGAGGATATGCAGATGTGCAGATTGATGTGTGGTTAGGTAGTTGTATATTGAATTGAGGTTTATGGAAGAGATGGGTTGGACGGAATGGAAGGGTTGGAAGGGTTGGAAGGGTTGGAAGGGTTGGAAGGGTTGGAAGAACTGGAAGAACTAGATGAATGGAATGTCAGATTACAATTGGGGGCCATTCGAAGACTGTGTAGTAGGTGAGTTTACGACTTGTATGAAGAGATCGCGTGATAAGGCTTGTGGAAAGGCCGAAGAAGTACGATGTGTTCTATGTTGTGCGAGGTTGGCGAGAATGAAGGGGAAAATGGAGGGAAGGGAAGGGGTTTAGTATATTCTTTTAGATCTTCTACCCAAGTACCCAGGTAGTCAAGAGAGTCAAGAGAGTCAAGAGAGTCAAGAGAGTCAAGAGAGTCATCAGAGTCATCACACAATACTTTCTTCTCCTAATACCTGACTCAATCGACATTCAATGGATCAGATGAAAATCCTCAATATCTATCTAATCTTCAAAGAGGAAAAATCAAATAAATGGTTTGTGCTTGGATTTGTCTCAGATTGGACCAAGAAAGCTTTACCCAGGTCGACCCACCCGAATCACCGAGCCACCTTCACTAGAAACAATTCCGTATCCTTCAACCTCGCATTTATTTCACATTTATCACAATTATTGTAATTATGATAATTATGACAATTGTGATAATTTCCACCTAAAATCAGATCTATATCCATCGGTACCCGTCCATATCCATTCATTTCCATACATATTTCCATTTATATGTCCATATATGTCCATATATATCTAACCCCATAAAAACAAATTCATCCACCTTTCCTTACACCGAACTTCATCTCGAACTTCGTGCATCACAATGATTTAAGAAGTATATAGAGCTCTGGTCATCCCGCTCGCTTGATTCATGTAAGTTTGCTTCAGACAGTCTTTCAATCTTCAATCTTCAATCTTCAATCTTTCAATCTTTCAAGTATAAAGTATTGATTCACACTACTCGTTCGCTGCTCTTTACTGTCACTCACTTTGTTTCGAGTTTCGAGTTTCTGGTGTTACGATACGAGCATATACAAAAGAAGATACCCAGTGAAGTCAAAGGTCATTCTCGAATTCACTCATTTCTATAAAGAAAAACTCATCCTCGACTTGGCAAGACTCGATTCAGAATCATAATACAACATAATCGAATCTTTTCAGCAAGCCCAAGAAAGTCCATTCAAACTTGCATCACATTAGATTGCAGTGCATGAAGAAGGGAACGGAAAGGAGAAGGATTTTCCTATCATCGAACAATCACCTGGGCATTCAGTCCCATTCAGATCCAAAAAGTGTTATTGGAAAAATCGAATATTGGAATCACCTCATCAGAAGGTTTTATATCTACATAAAAGCCTTGATGCGACTTTCCTACATTGCTTTATACATTCCACAAACCTACATTTTCCAATACATGCCAACAACCTCCTTCGACCTCTCACTCTCACGTCAAAACTACGTAACCAAACTCCCTCGTTTACAATACAAATACCATACATCATTCTTCATTATACTGCTTGAATCATGAATCCATCAATGTCACCACTCTCAATGTCTTCGCGCAAAAGGTCCTCTTCAATATCATCCTTCGATTCGTTTGATTCGGATTTCTTCGAACAAACTTATGTACCACTCTCAAATCTACCGACCCCACCTCTATCCTCTCATTCGTATGATACCACGGCCGCTCAATCACCAATATCTCTTTTCAGCTCCGATGAAATCCTTGATCCAGACTATTTAGGTATGTACCTAGTAAACCTTCCCAATCCCATTCCGTCATGGTGCACACCATCAACCTTTTTCCTGCAGAACATTTAGGCTAATCTCTGTTTCAAAATATAGGTCCTGCAATCCATCTCACAAACTTAATTCCCTCCTCTACTTCCTTAATCCATCCCTCCACTCAACTGGTTCACGCCTTGTTAACCCGCGCCGATCTACCAATCGAAACCCTCGCTCTCGCAGTATGCATCCTCGATTCCCTCAATTCTAGATTTGCTCGCTCGTGGCGAATTTCGTATCCTCTCGAATCATCCGAAGATCAATTACTCGAACAATACGATTTCCCAAGTCCACAATGTGCAGAAGAACAACACATCGATTCAACACATCCCGAAGTGATCGTTCTCGCAGCCCTCATATTGGCAATGAAATTTATAGATGATCAACAAGGAACCACTCTTTACTATGCGCAGAAATGGGCAAGAGGATTGTGGAGTTGTGATCAGATTAATTTCACGCAGAGAGCTATCATGGAAAATTTGAATTATAGATTACTACCACTCTGGGAAGAAGAAATTATTGAAGAAGCAAAGATGAGTATGGCGAGAGCAGCAAAAAGACAATCATCACAATCGTATTGTATGCAAGATTGGACACAATCGATGAAGAATTGTGGAATGAATAGACCGCTGAGTAGTGGAAAAGCTTGTATGGGAATTGAAGGAGAAAATACACCACAACCTACACCGGTCGAAATACCATTCTGTGAGGATTTGGTGATGGGAATGGGAAGTGAACGACCGTTGGGGGGTACGTCGATGTTAAGTCGAGAGACGAAGATAGCATTTGGGGGATTACTAGGTGGGGCATTTCAAGATGTGGATATCAATATGGATTTGGAGAGATTCCCGACACATGTGGATTCTCTAATGGTTCATGATGACCATATGAATTTTGTTTGAGGATGCGCGCTGGATCAAGACGAGAAGCTGGATCATGTCACGATATGATGACTTTACGATCGCATCTTTTACATTCTCCTTCGACCTAAATCTGGGGATCACGAGGGTATTCAAGGATTGTCTTTTACGGTAATACGTTACATAGCATTCTTTCTTTCTCTCCTGCACAAACCGGAAACGAAGATAAGGAGTCAAGTTTATTGCAATGAAATGGAGTGAAAGGAAATTTTGGATCGAATTGTTCTTGGTTGGAAATTGGTTGGTATGGAAAATGGAATGGCGCTTTATACCTCGAGAGAAGAGATTTGGGAACAAAGGTTCGAATCTTGTGTTTTTTGCTTGGTTATGGTTGTGGTTGTGATGAGGATGGAGGACAGAGTAGGTGAATGAGTGGGCTTACATAGATTGTACATGCCTACCTGCCTGTCTGCCTGCCTAGCTTGACCTACTTACCAAACATACGTAGTAATAATACCTAGTAGTAGTAATAATATACATTACCTAATTTTATATGGACATACTATTCTTCTACTTTTCTTTTTCATTCTTTCTTGTAAGTATACTTCGTTTGTGCCTTTCTTTGTACCTCTTATTGTTTATTCATGTTTTGATCAGCTCAACTTGATTCGGTTTGACTCGACTCGGGCCGGCCTGGTGGGAATAGTAGGTCCTCATAGTAATCATAGTAATCATAGTAGGTAGACAGGGTGTAAAAATCTACAATCTAGGTTCTTCGATGATGTGGTTTGGATGTTTTGATTTAATATATGGTGTGTGTGGTTCGCTGATTGGTTCTGGGGTTTAGGAGTTTGAAGAATTTGTGGTTCTGGGGTGGAGAGATCGGGAAAGGGTTGGAGATCTGGGGGGGGGGGGGGGGTCTGGAGGGTTCTAGAGGGATTTAGAGGAATGTAGGTAAATCGAACATTCTACTTTCTGGCCATCTCTGTTTTGAGCTACTCTTTTATACTAAAAAGTGCTTTTTTAGCTTATTAATAACTTTATCGAAAATTTATATATATATAATTTAGATCATTTTAAGTTTATTCTCAAAATTTCAGATTTTTAGGATTTTTTTAAATAGAGATCTGAAGTTTTAGAATATTGATTTTCAATTTGTATAAGAATTATATGTAAATTTGAAATTAGTTTTAAATCTTTGATAACTCTTTAATTATAACTGATAAAAAGAAACTGATTACTCTTTTAAAGATTTTGATTTTCAATTTATATAGAAAATTAAATAAAAAAATTAAAAAAATTAAATAAAATTAATAATTATAAAGATATAACTTAAATAAGGAAAAATAATCCCTATAATTTCGAAAGTATTTTTATAAATACTTATTAATTGAAATTTTTCTAATTTTTTACATCTTCTATATTATAAAGAATAAAAATTTATAATAGACATCTATAATTTATTTTTATAATTCTAATTAAAAAGTTAATTAAAAAGTTATTGAAGATTTAAAACTGATGTCAAATTTGTATATAATTCTTATATAAATTAAAAAATCGATATTTTAAAGCTTTAAATTTTCATTCGAAAAAATCTTAAAAATCTGAAATTTTTAGAAGAAGTTTAAAATTATTTGAATTATATATATATAAATTTTTAATAAATTCTATTTATAATTGAAAAAGTTATTAATAAGCTAAAAAAGTATTTTTTGGTGTAAATGAGTGGTTTAAAAGAGGAGTGGTTAGAAAGTAGAATGTCTGATTTATAGTTATTATTATGTTTGATTTGATTTGGTTTGGTTTGGTTTGGTTTGATTGATTTGATTGAGAATGGGAATGAGAATAGGGATGGGATAAAGAGTGATAGTTGATGTTTGGATTTGGATTTGGATTTGGTGTTAGTTAGTTGATTAGTTGATTAACTGGCTGATTGATGAGTTTACCATTTGCCATTTGCAGTTTGGGGGGTGTAGATATCCAGAATAAGGATCTCGATGGGTGGGATCCAGAAGACGGAGTACGGATTTAGAATGAAAAGACCTGCAGTTACACTTAACTTACTAGGTACTGGTGTGTTTTTCTTGTTTGCGGATGGGGTAGACGGTCGAGGGTATGCAATGTGGATGGGAAGAGGGTGTGATGTTTGAAGGTGGGAATGGGGAGTGGATGGGGAGGAGGTGTTATTGCATATGCGATGGATGGGTGAATGGTTGGGAGGGAGGAGAATTGTATTGTATTGGTTGGGATTTGGTATGGATGGTGGTCTACTTGGTTTCAGCTCTTCGGTTGGTGGTTGAGGAGGGGAGAAGAAAGGAAGAAAGTTTGGATGGATGGATGGATGGATGGATTGGATTGGGTGGTATTGGGATCTTGGTATTGGGGGGGGGAGGGATTGGTGAATCAGAGATTGCTGTTGGTGGATCAGAGGTTGGTATTAGGTTATAGAGTGGTATTGAGATTCTTGGTATTGCAGGAGGAGGGAAAGACTATGTGGGGGGGGAAAGTAGTCTCAGAGGGGTTAGGGTTGGAGGGATGTAGGGGTAGGATTTTCGGTTAGGGGTGTACGAGAGGGATGGGAGGGGGGTTGGAAGGGGGGGTATTCGGTAGGGTTTTTCATGGGATGTTTCGTACGGTAGAGGAATATCATGATATAGGAGGGATATATCTCGCAGATGAGGATGAGAATGAGTATCCGTGATTGTGCGGGCGGGTGGAGAAAGGATGGGATGGTATATGTTCTGCAGTAATCGGCATGCAGTATGTGCTATATGATATATATAATGAAGGAGAGAATTGGATTGTAGTTTAGGCAGTGAGTAATGAATTGATATGGGATTGGAGAGCTAGAAAGGTTGTGGGTGTGGGACCTTGAGTATGTGTGTGTGGATATGCACATAAAGAGATGACTACAATTTCCTGGTTTGAGATTTGAGAACCCGGATCTCGGAGGTGGAAAATGGGAAGTGGAAACTGGAAGAGATAGAAAGAAGGGGGAGGAGCGGGGTTGAAATAGAAATAGAAATAAAATGAAGTAAAATAATCTTATTAATATTAAGAGAGAGTAAATAAATATATAAATAAATAAATAAGTAAATAGGTATTTTTTCAATAAGAATTTGGGATTGAAAAACTTTAGGATTGAAGGAGATATGAATGGGGTGGATTTGGTATAATATAATGATATATTATCAATAAGCAGGAAAAACGATTAGAGAAAAGAACAAAGATCAATTGTTTGAGACTATTTGGAGGCACATGGGTAGGAGGTATATTTAGATGGAGCTTTTTGTTTTGATTGGGGGTGGGATTGTGTCGTTTATTGTTGATCGTGATAGTATATTCACTCCTGTTATTATATCTATAGTGACGAGGCTCTCTTCGCTTGTTGATTAGGGGGTTTGTTGGGGAATTGGAAACTGAGGGGTGAGTGAGTATGGGCATGGGTATATAAATTCATCTTCTCAGCGAACTAATTATTTCTCATCAAATGAGATATAGACCAGTCCCATCTCTGCAACATAGAGTAGCGCATAAAGGGAAAGTTTATTCATGAGCGAGTGGGTCTAAGGTATCTGCGTAGGTAGTTGCGTTACTTGTATGAAGATTGAAGGGAATTTGAGAGTTATTCGATAGTGAGAAAGAAATTTTTGCTGTTGAAAACAGACCTTAACGAGAAGTAAGTGAGTGAACTGGAATAAGAAATATGGGATGTCGATGTTGAGTACATAGTCATATAATCTAGTTTGATTTGGAGTCACAATCCCTGAGTATTTTATTTTCCCGCTATGTATGTGTATATGGATATCTTACAATGCCTAGGTATGTGCTTTTGTAGATGAGTAGGTTTGCATACGGAGATGATGGAAGATGGGACTTGGAGAGTCAAAGAGGCGAGGAGCGGGGGAAGTGGGACAGTAGAATGTGAGGGGATGGTGAATCATGTGGAGTGAACTAGGTAATTGGGACTGTGATCGATGAAAGGAAAGGAAAAAAGTAATGTGTATAAAAGTCCCTCTTTGACCTCTTTACATCCTCCATAAGGATGTTTCTCAAACTGTCAGAATTTATTCACGATGGTGTCGTAAGGGCGCCTGGTAAGTCTAATTCGTGTATTTTTCTCACATACTGATCTCATATTGCAAACTTGTGCTGTGGGTACTCAACGAATGAGTATATAATAAACAGTGAAAATGTTTCTTTCCGCTACAGGGACAACAAATATATAAGGGTTTTCACCGAGGAATATGTATTGTAATCGTTATTATTGTTGTTAGTGTTTCCTCCAAGACTGTCGTGGATTTCACAAATGCGTTAAACGCAAAAGCTGAAGAAAAAAAAACACTTAAAACGGTTGTAAGTTTCAGCTCGGAGGTGTTGTTCTTCCGGCGCTATAGTTTGCGGATTCGAAATATTTCTCTATCTCAGCTGCACATACTATAAACTGCGATTTGGAGATTTCGGAGTGTGTGGGATTGTATAGAGTGGTGGGAAAGGGAGTGATGATGGGAGTGAATGAAGATTAGCGTGCCAATAGGAGGGAGAGTGGGGCGGGAAGACAATGAGTATATGGGAATGAGCATGTGATGTATACTAGTATTTGTACAAAAAGCCAATGATATTTCCAAATTTCTCTCGTACCAAAAACACATTAAGCAGAGAGAGACATACATCATAAGGACCATCCTATGGGAATTCGAAATTCGCAGCTTTGACTTGTGTCTAGACTTTATGGCTGATTCTAGGTCAAGTAATGAACTTCCAGAAGTTGGACAGTATAGCTTGGAAGCGAGGGACTGTAGATAATTAATAATTGTTGACAGATAAAGGTTGTAAGATGATGGTGAAAGAGTATTGTTATCCTTGAGAACTTTATACTGTCGTCTCAAGGGAGTTGTATTCATAAATCGTTGATCATCTGGATCAATTTTTGTGTCCATCTTGGATCTCTGATAAACTATGGATTAAAGTGAATGACGAAACTTGTAGATACCAATTGACGCAAAGGAGTTTCGAGAAGTCAAATATTGACATCACAATGTTAGTATTTGATGGTCGTTTTCGTCTTTCTTACGCATTCTATCAGTAACGAGAGAAAAGATGATACAGGTGTATTTCTCGAGTATGAAGCGAGACTGGATATCGTAGAATGAAAGCCAAGGAAGAGACTACTGCATGTATCTGAAGTTGCTCCCGAATGGCCAAACTTCCACAACAAAAGACCTTCCGGGGTTTCGCAGAGTTATATGTTTAAGTAGCTGAAAATCTAACGACGAAAAGGTGTGTCTAGCTTGGTATAGAATGAGAAGTCACTGTGCTGTTGCACTTAGATTGTAATTTATGGTGATTTCTTAGTCTCCCTTGATCAATTATTTGATCTCATAAGTATAAATACACATCTAGATTCTTTTCTGTGATTATACTGTATAACAATAAAGCCAGAGTTTCCTATAAACAGCCTCTAATCGGGAGAAGAAAAATAATTTGCTCGCTCAAATCCTTTCTCATCTTTAGGTTCAGAAAGCTCGAGATTATACATCAGTTAGTCTGGACTCAA